AGGAGTTTCGTCAAAACTGACTAAAAGTGATCGAGGATGGATAATTCCGTCGAACTTGATAAACCTGTGATATCTTCTTCAGGGCGAAAAAGGAAAATAAAAGCTGAAACGTTTTCACTGAACCTTGCAAAAGCAGCGCGTTACAATGGTGAGGGAAAAGCTCTGTGTATTGCGTGTAATCACATCCATAAAGTTTATGATCACAACAACAACAACGTTTGTCAGGCATCTACATTGTCATCTGAGGAGATTACAAAGATTAAACAAGTGTTTTTTTAAACTTTAAAACATGAAATGTGGAGTTATAGTATGTGCTTTTGCCAAAAACGACTGTTGGAGTTATCTGCTTTTGCTGTAAAACAAACTTTTAATATGTAAAAAAAAAACATACTTTCAATGAACTTTAATTTAGTAAATTACCTGTATTTGTTTAAGTTATTATTACTTAATCAAAACAACCCAACTGCAGTTTGATTGATATTACTTGGAATGCGCAATAAAAAAAAAACGTGATTTCTGAAAAAACATAACAATACAGTTATCGGCTTTTGCAAATGAACCCTTAATATATAATATCTGTTGATTCATGAGTAAAACACCATTTGCAGGTATATATATATATATATAAATATATAAATATGCGGCCATTTCCATATACTTGACACATGTCCCTGTGAAACTGTAGTGAGCTTGATGTATTGTCTTTTTTCATGACTTTATGCTTACTCTTTCCTGTTTTTATTAGGACCCTAAAAAACACTTTGTCCATCTCACTCGTCATCCACTAATATAATTTCTCATTCGTCACATTACTTAACAGTTTGCTGACATTGCAGGTGCCAAACCATGTGATTTTTAAAACACCACGGAAAATGATGCCTGTAGCTAATTTGTCCAGATTGTAGCCTGGCTCAGGAAGGATGTTACGGGTCAGTGCTTTGAGTCCGGCTGGCGTCTGTCCCACTCAACCTCACGAGACCCAAGCCTGGTCTGTGGCCCCATCTTTCCTCCAGTCAGGCTTAAATCCCAGAGGATTCCCCCGATAAGCCCCAGCGTTGTGCTGGCTACTTCCAGGGTTTAGCATCGACTTTTGGATAAACATGTAGCCGTAATGAAATCCCACTAGACTGTGACAGAGAATACATGGTTAACAGCTCATGCTAACAGCCTGTGATGGCTGTAAAAATAACAAAGCTAGAGCAACAATAAATGGTTTGTTAAAGAAAAAATAAATTCTGGCATTTTTATTCTTTAGCAACCCAAAATTTAAACTTAAAGGGCACCTATTATGCGAAGGGTGGTGAACACAACCACCCTACAATGATAAAAATCCACCCACTCCTTATTTTTGTGGGTAATTATTATTTCTAATAATTAATTATTCCCTATTAAATCCGTTTGTGTGTATTTGAGAGTTTAAGCGCAATAAGACATGAAAGAGAACTTTAGTGCTCTACTATAGTTTAGTGTTCACATGCCATGTGACAGCCGCTTTCTGTGTGCGTGCTTTGGATATGTGCGCTCAGAAAACACTATATCAGAAGTTTAAACTGAAATGGCTTTAAAACACATGATTTCAGCATGATGAGACATGATAATCAAAACCAAACAGATGTGTTTTAGAAGAGAAATTTGAGGTACGAGCTGTAAAGGCACATCCCTATTCTGAAAAAGTGGGCAAGGACCGGCAGCTCATTCGCATTTAAAGATACAGGCACGAAAACAGCACGTTTCTGCTTCCACTCAAAATAGGCATTTTCAAAATGATGATATAAATGATCTGTGGGGTATTTTGAGTTGAAACTTCACAGACACATTCTGGGGACACCAGAGACTTATATTGCATCTTGTAAAAAGGGGCACAAAAGGTGCCCTTTAAAAGCAATAAAGGCCAGATTAAAAGTTTATCTAAAATCATTTTATTCAGTTTCTTACCATTTTCTGAGAAAGACTTAATTACATCTCCTCAATTTTAATGTGTGGATAAAAGCCATCCACTACTTAACATTTAAAGGAAGTTCTTCCATCATGCATTCACTCCAAACACTATATGAAGATGTTCATGCTGCTAATTTCCATACAATGGAAGTGAATGGAGACTCAACAAAGCATCATAATATTCCAAGTCTTCTGAAATCATATGACAGCTTAATGTTGTGAAACGTCTACTTTTAGGGTGCTTTTCTGTTTTTTTCCTTTATGAAAATGATGGGCTTGGAATGATGTGACAGGATTTTCATTTTTGAGAGGACTGTTCCTTTAAGACGGCAGAGACATTTTCTTCCTACAGTTTCAGGAATTATATCTGAAATTTATGAATCAATAAATGCACTTTTTATGCATAGTTTTATTCTTAACCGATTTTATCAATCTTTGGGACTCTTGTTTAGACTGTAGTGGTTGTCGGCTGAACTTTTTATTGTCGGTTTTTTTGTTTTAACCACTACAGACGCACAGAAACTAAACCTTCATATTTTCTTTTTCCATAAGCTCTGAAACTGTTGTTTGTTTTATATTGACTCCGTAAATCTATTTGACACATTCATGTTTGAATACTTAAATTTACCATTGTAATATAGACTAGTGTAAATACTTCCAAGTCTCTGCTGAAGTGTAATTTAAGGATCTTTCACGTGTGTCAGTTAAAGACTGTCTATGAACATCTCTGTTTATTCTCTAGTCACGATGAGGGATGGTTTGGGCAGCTGCTCTCTCTCCAGGGGTCAGAGGTCAGGCTGGAGTATCAGGGTCACACTGGGATTTTTGGCTGCATCAAAGCCCATTGGTGGCCTGCAGTTATTGCCTGTTTTAGTGCATTACTTGCATAGCATCCATTGCTTCAAATGATGTTGACAGTGAAATTGTTCAAATAGCTTCTTGGTTTATTTTCGCACCAGTTATTTTGATACGAACAGATTGGGTCAGAAGTGCCAAGAATTTATTGCACTACATTTTTAGCAGTGTGTTTCAGCAAAGCTGCATCAGTTTGAGCCATAGCATGCAGTGTGCTGGCAGTGTCTCTTTAGCAGTTTTGGTTTAATGTTTTGTCAAAGTAGAAATGTGAACTTGTTGGTTTCGCATGGACAGTACTGGAAATGATGTCAAGTCAAGTCACCTTTATTTGTATAGCGCTTTATACAATACTGGTGTCAAAGCAGCTTTACACTGTTAAACAGGAAAATAGCTTGTCAATAATGCAAGAAGACAATAACAGTAATTTTTCCAGCTAAAGTCAGTTCATTGATGATTGTAAAAAGACAATGGTGTCTTAACCAAACTTGACAGGTTTTCCATGCAGCATCAAGTAATTATGAAGTATTTAATGTTTAATAGAGTGCATTAGTGTCTGTCCATTTTTTCATCCGCCTTGGTTCTGTAAGTATTTTTTTCATTCATTTTTTCCCATAGGGATTTTAAAAAAAGTAGGCTATTTTTGAAAAAGTTGTAAGCCATGAACCAAATTAATTTAATTAAATCAGTAGTTTTCTATTTCTCCATTGTTTTTTTTAATGATATTGATTTATTTATAGAAACAATAAATTTTATTGCAAAATATGTATTTATATGCAAATGTTTAAGTGTTTTGAGAATGTGGGAGTGGGCAGAGACTAAAGAGTTATTTTGTCGCAATTAGCTTGTTTTAGTTCTCTGATTGGTGAACATTTCTCTACAGAAAAATGGGTAATGTAGTTTTTCACCAAGAATTCCACTGGTAAATGGCATGATTATTTTAAAAACAAGTAGAAATAATGCAGGCTGATGGCTATAATAAACGCATATACCATTGATTGTCTTTAAATGTTTTAAATTATCATTAATAATCAATTCCTCTATGGAGAAAATGAAAGGAATTTCTAGAACCCAACTATTGCACTTTATTGTCATTTGTGTGCAGCAGGATTCTGAACCAATGAGACTGCAGTGTGTTCGGAGCTAGGCAACAATAGCACAAAAATAAAGGACCAACAGAATTGTTTGTGATATTCCACATTTGTAATTTGCTTAAAAGCATCTGTGGTCTTTGGATAAAAGCATAAATGAATAATTGTAAAATATTATTAAGACAATGATATTGATTTATTTATAGAAACAATAAATTTTATTGCAAAATATGTATTTATATGCAAATGTTTAAGTGTTTTGAGAATGTGGGAGTGGGCAGAGACTAAAGAGTTATTTTGTCGCAATTAGCTTGTTTTAGTTCTCTGATTGGTGAACATTTCTCTACAGAATAATGGGTAATGTAGTTTTTCACCAAGAATTCCACTGGTAAATGGCATGATTATTTTAAAAACAAGTAGAAATAATGCAGGCTGATGGCTATAATAAACGCATATACCATTGATTGTCTTTAAATGTTTTAAATTATCATTAATAATCAATTCCTCTATGGAGAAAATGAAAGGAATTTCTAGAACCCAACTATTGCACTTTATTGTCATTTGTGTGCAGCAGGATTCTGAACCAATGAGACTGCAGTGTGTTCGGAGCTAGGCAACAATAGCACAAAAATAAAGGACCAACAGAATTGTTTGTGATATTCCACATTTGTAATTTGCTTAAAAGCATCTGTGGTCTTTGGATAAAAGCATAAATGAATAATTGTAAAATATTATTAAGACAAACTGATTTTTCTGATTTCTTCCCAGTTGTTCTCCCGATTGCCTGCCATTGATTTGGTAGCATGCCATCAGGTTGGTTTGTAGTTATCCCTGCAGAATATTCCGTCTCATCTGTGTCAGGACTTTATCTACTGATGCAGATATGCCATGGATGTGGATGCCAGGAAGGAAGTGATTTCACGCCCATGCTGCGGAGATTCACTCTTTTGTGTCCTTCCTCTCTCATTTCCTCAGATCGTATCAAGACAATATCAGGATATAAGGAAGCGTATGTAGAGAAGAACATGTCATTTGAGCATCTGAGCCACAACTACTACTTTTTTAAACTATTAATGCCACGCAACTCCTATAGACCATCTCTTGGCATTCCCACTGTGTTCTGGAGTTCAGTGGCCGGGCGACAGGAAGTGACACTGAGCTTTCTGCCAGTACTGCTCAGAGAGGGGGTGGTAGAACATTCCTCCAGCGACGGCTGTGAAGATACTGTGTCTCAGCTCCGTCTGATGACATGCTGTGAGCTGTGTGGGGTTGTGGGAGTGCTGTCTATCCTAGCCAATTTCAGCAGACCTTTGAGAACTGAATTAATGCATTTCAGTAGCTCATTATCATTTAAAGAGACATGCACCGAAACGGGTCTCTGTGAACAGACCAGTTAAATGGGTGTTGTTTTACATGAACATTGAGGAATTTTAACCAAAGTATGTTGTAGACATTTCATGAAAACCCTAAAGAATCATATTAACTTGTGGAATGGGCATCCAATGTCCCCTTTAAGATGTTTTTCACTTGTGACATCTTCATGACAGTTGGGCACATTTCATTCTTCACTGAGAATATTTTTACTTTGTTTTTTAAATTCTCATTAAATATAATTGAGAAGAATGTGCTTATCTTATGTGAAAATAGTGTCACAGTAGGGGGAAAACTCTTCATAAAAACAGGATTATCTAATTTTCTTAATAATATAATATAATATTTTACTTATGTAAAAAATGAAAATAAAATGAAAGATGTTTTTCATTTGTGACATTATTTTAATGACAATTAAAAACATGTCCCTGTTTTACAGTAATTGTAATCATTGAGAATATTTTTACTTTTGGCTTGTGTTTTTAATTCTCATTAAAGATAATTAAAGAGGATAATGCGCTTAAGTGCTTAATTGTCATGAAAATAATGTCACACGAGGGGAAATCTATTCATAAAAAAGGATTGTATTATTTTATAATATAATATGATACTTTACAGTAAATTTTAGATATAATTATGTAAAAATAATGAAAAATTAAAATGAAGCTTGTTTTAGGAGCATTAAGATGTTTTTCATTTGTGACATTATTTTCAGTTAAGCACATCTTCCCTATTTTACATAATGATCATAAAAAAAACGTTTTTACTTTAGACTCATTAAATCTCATTAAAGGTAATTTAGTTGAACATGCTTAATTTTCATGACAATAGTGTCACAGTGGGGAAATATTTTTTTTAAATCATGACTGGATTATATCATTTTCTTATGATATGATATGATATATTTTGCATGTATATTTTAGATAGAATTATGTAAAAAAATTCAAATGAACTGTTTTAGGACAATTATGGTGTTTTCATTTATGACTATTTTCATGACAATTAAGCACAATAATCACTGTTGTGAATATTTTTACTTTTGAGTTTTTTTTTTACTATTTTCATTAAAGATAATTGAGAAGAATGCGCTTAATTGTCATGATGAAAATAATGTCAGTGGGGGAAAAAAACTGGCCATAAAACCAGGGTTTATTTATTTGTTTAATTTCAAATGAATAATCATTTTTAAAGTAAGTAAAGTTTCCCACAGAGTTCAGGTGTGTATCAGATGGAGTTGAATCACTGAATGACACTGAATGATGTTTGTGTTGTCAGGAGTGTTGGCTTCATGACAGTCTGATCCCCATCTGCTCTGACCTTAGTTAAATCTCCCACAATGCACTGCACAAACCCCTCGGCCCTGGACGCATTAGCACCTCAGCACGTCTGGAGACGTTTTGTGACATCACCTCTCAGACAGCAACAGATTTTTGGCGGGAAAGTGTCCGATAAAGAGAGTGTTTTCTCACACATGACCCTCGCAGGCGGGTTTCGGAGCAGCGATTAGGGAATTGTTTGCACGCAAACGCCAGCTGGGTTAACTTTGCCCTGCCAGAACACCACTAAACACAGATAACTCATGATGTATCTGGCCATGGTGGCCTCGCGGGGTCTGTGATGAGGAGGGGTCCGGGTGGAACGCTCTCCTCTATTTTGCTCATGACACATTTCTGATGCTTGACTGCATGCTGACCCCTCCAAAATCAACACACTTTCGCTGAGAGATGTCTGAGAGCTGACGTCTCCAATGAGCTTAACAGCCCTGTCTGCTTTTGGCCCGTCCTCCACACACCACACACCCGTAAAGCAGGCTAGAAAGGAAGCCCGCTTGGGTTAAATCCGTCTGTGACTTTTTGGAGACGTCCCACTCTTACAAGAGACTAAAACCAGACCTGAATTACAAAGCAAAAATAGACGCAGTGAGTGATGCAGCTGCAGAGGAGAGAAGAAGCGTCACTGATAAGCGGATAATGCACAGTCATTATCACAAAAATCAACTTCGCCATAAAGTGGAGGAGTCTTTTTATGACCCTGAAGTTATTTTGCTATAATGATACTTGCTATACATTATTTTGCTTATTTTCATAATGTTTCCATTTATGCATCATTGCATCCTTACATGATATCAGAGGCTTCAAATAAATGAAGAAAAACAGCCAATAATGAGGCAAACTGACACAGTCGTTAGAAAATATAATGGCTAAACAAAATGTGCATTAAAAACATTTTGATACTAAAAGAAATTGTCTTTTGAAATATGAAGCATTTTAAAATTAATTCAATTTGTATGCACTCTGGACATTGATGCAAGCGTCTTTTCTTTCTTTTTTTCAGTGGCCATGAATTCAAACAAACAAATAAATTCAAAATGTTAAAGCAATTAGTTATTATATAGCTATAATTGATTTTTTTATTTTTTCCCATTCTTTTCAACCAGGAGTAATTTTTCCCCCCCTATATGGTCCACGTGTCACTATTAATTAATTTATTCTGCATATTGGCCAAAGTACATTAAAAATCACACTCTGGACATTGATGCAAGCATCTTTTCTTTCTTTTTTTTCAGTGGCCATGAATTCAAACAAACAAATAAATTCAAAATGTTAAAGCAATTAGTTATTATATAGCTATAATTGATTTTTTTTATTTTTTCCCATTCTTTTCAACCAGGAGTAATTTTTCCCCCCCTATATGGTCCACGTGTCACTATTAATTAATTTATTCTGCATATTGGCCAAAGTACATTAAAAATCAAGAATATGTAATCATATTTTAATATCTTCCTATATAACAAGATTTGTGCAACCAAAATGTGCAATTAACCCATTGTCATATATGTGGAATTAGCCAATAAATTATAATGCATTTTAATATGCCACTAATGTTGCTTTATCAAATCAATTATTTTTCAATTATTTTGATAGATTCAAAATGTGTAAAGCAATTAATTAATTGCATTCAAAATCTATTTAAAAAAATAATTAAGACATGTTTTCTATGCATTTCAACCAAGTGTATGTGATCTTTTTTTTCTAAATGCTCCAATATAACAATATAAAGTAACAAAGCACATTTTTAAAACGTAAAAATATGCACAGAATTTGCTTTAAAATTATAATGCAATTTAATATGCCACAGACTTTTTGTTAATTCACTTATTCTTCACACTGGCCATGATGATTCAAGTTTTGTTGTGTTTTTGATCATTGGCCATCGATTCGATGACATCACAAAATGTTTAAAGCAGTTAGTAAAATACATTAAAAATAATTCATGTTTTCCACACTGTTAAAGCAAGAATATGGTGTATAATTTTTCAGTATAAACCAATATAGCAATAAAAAATATATACATATTTGAAAGCAAAATGCGCTTAAAACTTTTGCAATATTCACTGTTGTCTTTGAATTAATAAAGCAACATTAATGGCATATTAAAGTGCATTATAATAAAAATGTTCTGCACACTGGCCACGCTGATGCACATTTTGCTCTGTTTTTGGTCAGTGGCTATATAGCTGGAGGCTGCAGGAGAATTAAGGCTTTTACTGAATATAAAAGGTCCAGACAAGAGTACTAAGAGGCGTACAGTCTAAGAATAGACACACACACACTTCTCTCTGAATGACTCACTCAAACACTCTGTTACAAAAGGACGGTCTCCACTAGAGCACTCTTAGCAATCAATCAATCAATACTCAGCGCAGTAATGTCATCATCCCTTTTAGCCAATCTGTTTGCAGAGGGGTCTCAATACATGCAGTGAATATTGCTGTTACAGTATAAGAATGAAAATATTCACTCTGAAGTGTTAGATGTGTCTGAGAAACCATCGCTAACAGAGGATGTTGTTCTCAGCTGTTCTTTTGCAAATTAACGAGTCATTTGATAGAGTCCGCTGGAGTGTTTCTCTCATTATGGTGGGCTCCCGGAGGATGAGGAGCGTGCCCCTTTCAGCTGGTACCTTCTGGCAAATGCGTCAAGGTCAATAATGTAGTTCACTCATGCACAATCACACACCAGACATCAGTAGGACTGGCAAATATATTGGTATTTTCATGAAATTCATTACGTATTGTCAATGTCTGGCCATTGTTTCTGCGTTTCCTTTTTTTTTTTTTTTTTGTCTTGTAAACATCTCAGATGTGTTGACTTTGTGCAAGCATTGTTCAGACCGTCTATGTTAATTCTGGATTGATTTGAGTGATATAAACAAACCCTGTTCTTCTTTTGTCTGGTTTTCAGCGGTGTAGACAGGTTTGTGGGTGTAAACAGAGCCCGGCCCTGCTAGAGGTTGTGAAGTCAGCTAGACACCGAGCCAGAAGCAAACATGTCTCTGCTGGTTCAGCATCTCAACCTACAACAGCACTAATGTGTGCTATATTGAACAGTCTTCAGTGCTGATCCATTGTGGTGAACATCTTATATTCAACAGCACTGTTGCATACATGTGTGTGTATATATATATATATACTGAACAAAATTATAAACGGAACACTTATTTTTGTCCCCATTTTTCATGAGCTGAACTCAAAGATCTAAGACTTTTTCTATGTACACAAAAGGCCTATTTCTCTTAAATATTGTTCACAAATCTGTCTAAATCTGTGTTAGTGAGCACTTCTCCTTTACCGAGATAATCCATCCACCTGCAGGCATGCTGAATCGGCCGATACCGATATGGTGGCCGATATATCGTGCATCCCTAATTTTTTATGTGCAATAAAGATTTATTTTAGTATATTTTATTTACAACATATATATACTTATATATAATTTTCCATTTTTATAGTTTTTATAGCTTGTGATTTAATATATTTTGAAGATAATATATATTTAATATATTATATTAATATGAACTAATAGTTGTTTATTATTATTTTAAATTTACTTAGTATCTTAAAATCTTTAATCTTAAGAATAAATATGAAATGACATTTACAATGCAATTAACTTTGGTGTTGTGATCCATTTAAAAAAAAAATTTAAATATAGCTTTTTCCATTAAAACATTAGTGTAGGGTGGGACTTGACTTTGATCTGGATTTGGTTGGATAAAAAATGTTGAATAAAATGTGTAAGGCTGTGATGTTAATGGTTACTTTATGTTTCCCCACCCACATGGAGTTATATCAACGGTCATGCTGAAAGTGGAGAATGTTATAAAGTAGGGATGTAAAGATTCACTCAACTCACGATTCGATTCGATTCACGATTCGATTCGATTCACGATTTTAGTTTTTTACTAAATGAGATTTAAGACAAATTATAAATTAAATGTGTCCTTTTATTATTGCTTGGACAAAATGCTGCACATTTCTTTGTGAAATTGAAATATAGCACTGTAATAATATACTAATATAGCACTTGCATATTATTGCTCTTTTGTTGGTTTTGATTTGTTGCTTCTACTGTCCTCATTTGTAAATCGCTTTGGATAAAAGCGTCTGCTAAATGACAAAATGTAAATAAGTGTTTTGAGTGGCTTTTAGGGCATTGCGATGTGGTTACAGGGATATTTTGGGTAGTTTCAAGGCAGTTGCTTAAAAGTCCCTCTTTTAATGTAGTTTTAGGGGACATTTTTGCTTTTTTTTTATCTGCAAGGCAAAATTGTAAGTCAGTGCTTTGTTACTGTCATGTTTGGCACTCGTGTCTCACTTGACACATTTCATGTTGTGTGTCTTGCGATGCATTTTTATGATGGTGTATCACAAATATATATAAATAATAATTTATAATTTAAAAATATTTTTTTGTGTGTGTGTGTGTAACGTGTGTATATATATATATATATATATATACTGTGTGTATATATATATATATATATAATTTATTATTATTATTCAT